ATTTGCCTCCGATGTCGGGCATTTGTCGGCGATTTCGCAAAACCTGTCGGCGAGTGAAGAATCGGGCTAATCGTGCAGTGTGAACTCGGCATTAAGTCAGTTCATTCCAAGTTCAGCTCTCTTCAATAGTGTCTGTGCAATCAGTCAAGCGTCCCCAACTAATGCCGAGTTGCACGATTTTAGCCCAATTTTTCACTCGCCGACAGGTTTTGCGAAATCGCCGACAAATGCCCGAAATCGGAGGCAAATCGGTGCTCGTCCCCAATAATGTAATATTTAGGCCCTGGAATGTGAATTGTACCAGGAGAACCCCGGCAAAAAAATGTGTATTTTACCCCCCGAACGCGATTGGGCTATTTTCAGGCTAGTTTTGAGTAGTAATTGGGCGGGTTTTGTAGCGAAAACCTGGCAACCCTGCAGCAGACAGAGCTGTCGGCGATTCTTCCTATTGTCGCCGATCCATCGTGCAGTGTGAACACAGCAGCAACTGAATGCTACCCCAGATAGTCACGCAGTGTGACACCAACAGTGATGCGACGAGTTTGAAAATCATGCAGTGTGAACTCGGCATTAGCTGGAAAATGACTCTTTTATCGTCGTCTTGCATTATTGACAAACGATTTTCCTGTTTGACTCTGTAAAGCTGACACAATCCATATTGTATAAAGCTCTATAGAAATAAAGGTAAAATTATATATTTTAGACTTTTATTATGTACACCCCGGTGACCTCAGTTAGGGTTACAGCACCTGCTGCTCAGATCTATTCAGGTAAATGTTGTGTGTGTTCAACGACCGATGGATGAGCAGCAGTCATGTGTTCTGTGGAAAATTCTGTCAGTGAGGTTTAAATCAGATGACAGCTGATCAGTGCTTTTAATTATGGTCTATTAGAAATCGAGATTAATTTCTACAGTTCTCTAACTGTGTGCGTGCGTGTGTGTGTCCGTGTGTGTGTGTGTGTGTGATTGTGTGCGAGTGTGTGTGTGTGTGGTGTGTGTGTGTCCGCAGGCATGACAGAAGGTCAGGATGCTGGAGTCCTATGTTTCTCCTCTCTTGATGAGTTATGTGAACCGCTACATAAAGAACCTGAAGCCGTCGGACCTGCAGCTGTCACTATGGGGCGGCGACGTGGTTCTGAGCAAACTGGACCTGAGACTGGACGTGCTGGAGCAGGTGAGAGAGGCACAGCATCAACACACGGTTTGACAGCACAGCACAGCTTTCCTTCACTCATGGCCTTCTGTGGGCCTTTTCTGAAGGAGCTTTACTGCATTTTAAAATATGGCTGCACTTCTGGTTTCGGGATCTGCCACCCAGAAGGACTGAAACAAATCATTCTGACTGAAGGATCTGGACATTTTCCATCACGCTCTATTTTTATTCCTCTGGAAAATAATGTACTGCCAGAATATCTGAGACATCTGTAATATCTCCTGAGAATTTCATTCATGGTTTGCTGAGAGTAGTTTGTTCATATAGGTTTCCTTTCTGTGTTCGATGGTTGAAGGTGAGGAGAGTAATGTCACATCTCTCTATTTAGTTTTTGAAAATGTTTATCATTGCATTCATTCGCTGGCAGTTGCTGATTGTTTACGGTTTGACGGATGTCACTCCCATAATTTACACAAAGCACAAATGTAGGAAAACGGTGGATATGTAAAACAGCCTAAGCCTTGGTTACTGTTGATATTTCAAACAAGCATAAGGAATGATTTTTATCTGTCAGATTTACTGAATGAAATGATTAAATAATGCATTTGCATGATTAAATCTGTGAGAATCAGAATCGAGTCAAATGCAACGAGGAAAGTCTCGTTTGACAGCAATTACAGCTGATGGCATTAGTGTGAGGAGCAGTTTTGTTCAGGTACCTTTCAGTGGTGCGTTCACTGCTGTACATGGCAGTTGTCTGGATCAGTGACGTGGAGCAGATGAATATGTTCGTGTTCATTCGGGAATGAGGGCGACACAGAGAGTAATACACCGCAGGTATTTGAAAAGGGAAAATTCAGTGTCGCTAGCAGAAGAGACCCGGCAACCATGTTTAACCTTATTTTGAGATCATTTCTGTAAAATTGCTGTGCAAACACGCAGATCATAGACTTACATTTGAACAAGCAAAAGCTTGGAAACAGTTGCTAAGGTAGGACTGGTCCGTAGCAAAGAGTCAGTTGATTCTGAAATCATTCTGCATCAGTTTGCAAAAACAAAATCAGAATGAATATTGATATTTTCAGCTGAGTTCCTTAGAGGTGTCAGTATTGAGTGTTTCCATGTTGTTTCTTCAAAGCTGTCAGTGTTTCTGAAGGGTTGAAGTGGATGTTTGTGGATGTTTCCCAGCTCTCACATACATGCAGCAGAGCATTTGCTTTGCGCTCTTATTTGGGCAACTCTGAGCTTTTGCAGTTGTAATATCTGGAACGGATCACTGTGATGTTGTGAGAATGTTTGGCTCCGCACACGCTCTCAGAGTTTGATGCAGGATATTATTAGAAGCAGCTTGCGTCGTCCCGAGCGGGAGTTAAACTTTCTCTAGTGATCTTCAATTAAAGCCACTCTGGGATCCTGTCAGGACGCCTCGGGAAGCGTTTGAAGCCTTTGTGAATGGGTTCTGTTTGATTGTGAGTGTTGAATTGCTGAACTCTGGTTTGACTGATGGGCTGCGTGTGTGTTTGCAGGAGCTCAAGCTGCCCTTCACCTTCCTGAGCGGACACATCCACGAGCTGCGCATCCACGTGCCCTGGACCAAACTGAGCTCGGAGCCCGTGGTCATCACCATCAACACCATGGAGTGCATCCTCAAGCTCCGAGACGGAGCCACGGTCAGTGTCTGAATGAGATCTAGAGTCTGGGACACGAGCGGCTGAAGCTCAGAGCGAGCGTGGGTTCGTGTTTGGCTGAAGCACAGCCGATGCTCATGTATGAAAGCTCTGATCTATGATGTCTGTGTGAGTGTGAGCAGACAATCACTCAATCCACAGTTTGGACAAACAAATAAGAAACGTTTCATGTAAATCTAATAGACTTTAGTCAAGGAAATGTCATATTTAATTGAAAGCACAGTATGGCGTCCTCTCTGACTGAGGTCTATAGCACTGCTGGTGGAGCAGACGAGTGTGCAGCACTGTAAATGCATCTTTAAAACTACAGCGGTTAGAAAGTATAATCACATGAGGCTAGTGTGACAGAATCACTCACCAGTCCTGACTAAAGTGATATTCAGTTGCTCATTGAGTAAACCTCGTGGCCTTCACGTGATGTTTGCACAGTAAGGCATGTGAAGTGGCGATCCGTGAGGTTGTTTGCATGCAGCATCTGCAGCGAGTAACACAGCCAGCAGTTCCTTCATCCAGAGCCGTTGTAGCGCCACTAAAAGATGATTGAGACACTCGAATACTGAAGAGTTCACGTCAATGATTCAACCACAGTATAGAAATATCCCATGTTTCGCATGATTGTGCAGCGCTTGACTGGATAAAATCATGGAGATTGCGGTCTGTGCTAATCGTCACAGACACGACGTTGGAAAAGACGAGCAGTGTCCGCTGGCGTCGGAGGGGCATGAATGGCCTGGTGTTTTCCTGCGCTGAAGCAGCGCTCGCTCGTTGTGAGGGGGTCCTGAGGCCAGATGGCCAGTCAGAAACACATTTAGCAGGGAAGTCAATTAGAGCTGATTATAGCAGCTTCTGCAGAATAGATCTGGAACACATGCGTGTTTCACTGCGCTAATATCACCCAGCGCTGCAGCTACTGCCGTCTGCGTGTTTCTGCCATGTGGAAATGAGTCGGGACGGGTCCTGTTAAATTCCCAAACAGGTATTTGTTGCAGATGTGTTTCACAGAGCCGTCCCGTTCAGAAAGAACTTTTGGAAAATTGCAAATGACGTTCAGACAAATTATGCGCTGGTAACGCTCGGCCCGGAGAGACCCCAAACCAGACGCAGAGCCCGAGAAACCCTGACCATTTCAGTTTAAACAGGACATATACTTACTTTTACTTTACTTTTACTTTTAGTCATTTAGCAGACGCTTTTATCCAAAGCGACTTACAAATAAGAAAAAGTAATTAAAACTAAAAGCTAAAACTCTATAAATACTATATATATACACACATTTAAGAAAATAAAAGAAATTAAATAAAAATGACAAATGCATACAACAACATTTCAAAACTAAAACATTTAAATGAAAACAAAAAAATAAAGCTAAAAACAATTAAAACATACACAAATAAGAAAAAGTAATTAAAACGAAAAGCTAAAAGCTTTTAAGAAAATAAAAGAAATTAAATAAAAATGACAAATGCATACAACAACATTTCAAAACTAAAACATTAAAATGAAAACAAAAAAATAAAGCTAAAAACAATTCAAAAATATTAAAAGAACAAAAGGTATGAGTATAATAATGATTCTAACATAACACTAAGCCAAACACCAAAAAACAACTACATATGTGTATGTACAACCTCACATATACATATACATGTACATATATATAAATACATTAAATATATATATATTATTTCATTTCCATTTTGTATGTTGAAGTACTGAAATAACTCAAATTAAATAAAAGTAAAACTTAATAAAAAGCCTATATAGACATAATAAAAAACTAATAAAATGACAACATTACTACAACTGTAACTAAAACTAAAATAGATAACTAATACAAATCAAACTACATTAGTTCATCAGTAATCCTAAAAAAATAACACCGCTTCCGCGGTAAACTAAGCTTCTTTTTAATTAGTTTAACAAAACTCAAATTGAATTCAGCTGGACACACTTTCCTGTTTATCCCAACAAATGGCCAAGCAAAGCGCACGACACTGACAAGGTACGCAATACAGTACGACACCAAACGCCATTACTTCATGACACATGTTTGCATTTGCTTGCAAATACACAAATAAAAACGAGCTAAGTGAAATTGTGCAAAACGACATACAAAAAAAAAATGTAACGGAAAAAACAACAATGTAATTGACAGAGAAAGAAACAGTCTGATGTCAAAGAATCAAAGTTACAGGTGCGTGCTCGATTGATTGTTTTAGCTGCATCTTCACTCTTTCATCACAAACACACAGCAGACTGCAGCAATAAATGAGAAATAAACCTTTACTGCTGTTTATCCCACAGTGCATCTGTGCAGAACTCCTCATTCCTTCAGATACACACACACACACACACACAGTGCTTTTACCCTGAACTCAGAAAGTGTTATAAAATCTTAATTCTCTTCTCATCTCGTCTGATCTCGTGTCTCCTCTCAGATGTTGTGTGTAAGGTTGTGTTTGTGTTGTTTCTGTGTGCAGGATGATAATGAAAGCTGTACGTCCAGTTCGACCAATCGCAGCGCCTCTGAGAGCTCTAAGGCCGTGTCTAAACCTCGACGGGTGCAGCAGGCCCCCAGCGACCCTGACCTGCCCCCAGGTGAGTGATGTTGTGAAGGCCGCGGGGCCACGGTCCCTCCCTGAGGAGCGGCTCTTATCTGGAAAGCCTCTTAAAGACCCCCATCAGAGCTCAGCACACTGTTTGTTTTCATTGAAGCTCACACACACTTAAACACACACTTACACTCTCTCACACACACACTTAAACACACACACACACACTTACACACACACTCACACACACACACACACACACACACACTTACACACACACTCTCACACACACACACACACACACACTTACACTCTCTCTCTCACACAAACACACACACTTACACTCTCTCTCTCACACACACACACACACACACGCACACATACACACACACACTCCTCTTTCACTTAGTAGGATGTAATTAACTTTACATGGTTGTGATTTCACACATTTATTCATTTAGTGAGTTCTAAAATTCTACATTCTAATTGGAATTCTAAAAATTGGCTAGAAAAGTGCAAGAGTTTGAGCGGTTGCTGCATGAAAGTGTCAGTGCCGTTCAAAATGACAGAATCAGAGCCTGTTTTAACGCTTTTAACTCCTCCTTACAGTATGTTTCCACTCTGTGAGGGAAAACGGCCGCAAATCTTCCTCCACATCCGCTGACATGTTTTCAGGGATCAGCTCATGTGAGAGAATTTAATGTCATGATAGATATGAAAACGATCTGGTAATTGACGTACCTAGACTGGGGTTAGTTGTGCTAACTGCGGGTGCAGTGTAACGACACACGATCAGAATAAAACATGAAACTGAGCGACTGGCAAAGTGTCTCTGCTGATTACGACACCTTTTTATTCAGATTCATATTTAGATGATTTAAACTCAAGCTGTCAGTGTTTTCGTATTTTGCATTGATTTTGTGAAGCTCCGAGGAGGTTGGTTGTTGCTGTGATTGTCTCCTGCGCATCCAAACACGGTTATGTCTCGTTGCTAACCGCAGCTGATGCGCTCCGCGGGCAGGAAGAGGCCGGTGGAGTCTGAGAGCCGCTCTTGGCTCGAGTAGCACATAAAGCGGTTGGTTTTTCCAGCTATTTAATGACTGGAGTTTTTCGTCCCCACGGGCCGCAGCACAGGTGCAGCTGAAGCAGTAGTTTACAGAGAGATGAAGGCGGACGGAGGGAAGTCGGCTGCTCCGCTGGATAAATTGGATCCAGAGAGCACTAACAGTGAATGACTTTATGACTGTGAATGCAGGTGCAACACACACACACACAGACCCGCCGCTGACCCGCGTGTTCGACACACACCCACGACTGACCAGCAAACCAGCATACAAAACATCACGGCGGTAAGCGTCGACCGCACACACAGACGCTCACATGAGTGATGCCCACGGGAAATGAAGCACAACTGCGGACGATGCAGCGGCTGGGACCCTTCGGCGTTCGCTGCTGCTGTAAAACACTTATTTGTTCTTCACCTGATCGTGAGGCTTTGAGTTTGTCGGATTATGATCCGTGGCGCTCCAGAGCTCATTAATAAAACACAGCGGCACTCGCACAGGAAGACAAACATTTGAGTTGGACAACAAGGAAAAAGCGTTAAAGTTTTATAAGTTGAAGTGGGACTGCGAGCGTTCAACAGGGCTGAATAATGCCATTGGACCTGCGGTTTTATATAAATATAATATAAATATATATAAATAAATATTAAAATATTTTATTGCTGAAATTCTGGTTTGTAATGTTTTCTGTACTTTGGTGCTTTGTTGAGTAATGACCTTAGACCGTGGATGCTGTTCAACTGGAGCTTCTGGTCGTGAGCTGCTCTGTTCACACGCATGTATACACACACTCACACTCACACACACACACACACGGTCACACACACTCACACACACACACACGGTACATGCACGCACACACACTCACACGCACACACACACACTCTCTCACTCACACACGCACTCACACACACACGCTCACACGCGCACTCACACACACACGCGCGCACTCACACGAACACTCACACACACTCACACGCACACACTCACGCACACACACAAGCACACACTCGCGCACACTCACAGACACTCACACACACACTCACGCTCGCACTCGCACACACACACACTCACGCGCACACACACACTCACACACGCACTTACACACACACACTCACACACTCTCACTCACTCACACACACACACGCACACACTCTCACTCACACACACATGCACACACTCTCACTCACACACGCACACACTCTCACTCACACACATGCACGCACACTCACACACACACACTCACACTCACACTCACGCACACACACACACACTCACACACGCACACACACACACAC